ATGGGACCAAGCAAAACAATCCACGTTAGCTTTTAAGAATTCAATTAACATACCTCGCGTATCTGAGCTTAAGTTGGCTCCCGCATAAACCTTTCGTTCAGGCCATTGTTCAAATAGTATCACAGGCTCGAGCTCCTCAAATGTTGTTTTGATGTTTTCATTCTCTTCAGGCTCTTGAATCATATCAGGTCTCAAGTCTATATTTGTCTTTCCTCGTTCCGTTGTGGTTTGGCCTATGTCTTCTTCAACTTTATTTACAGCACTCATATCTGTTACCATATTAATACTCCTAGCTGTATGTTGTTCCCCTCGAATTTGACAGATTCCCCATGGTGATGGGAATTTCATTACTTGATGTAGAGTTGACGGGACAACGTCCATATCATGAATCCACGGTCTCCCCATGATAATAATTATATGCCATCTCCATATTACTACCTGAAATTTGGTATCTTTCAACAACACCTCTGCAAAAGTTGTTAGAATTACCTCTCCTTTAGTTACAACACTGGAATTATCGAATCCTGTTAGAGTATGCGCCTTTGGAATCATCTTATCCTCCGCTTGCATTTCACGTAGTACTCTTAATAGGATGATGTTTGCAGAACTTCTGGATCAATCAAAACTCTTTTTACATTAGTATCATGTACAAGTAAAGATATTACCAGCGGTCGTTGTGGGGGGTGATCACTCCTTCTGTGTCTGCATCATTAAAAGTGATACTTTCATCCTCTAAGGTTCCACACACTCGTTTCCCGTGCGTGATTCTGACTTTGGAAACTTTATTTGAAGCTGTGTATGTTACTCCATAAATATCTTCTCCCCCACTTATAACATTCACGGTTCTCTTGGGTGATGGGGACTTTGGTGGCTCTTGCCTGTTTTTCATGTAGGCTTGCTTTCCTTTCTCGCTAAATAACTCAGTGAGATAACCTTGTTTCAATAGATGGTCCACTTCACTTTGTAAGAATCTACATTCTGAAAGTCTTATGCCCAGTGATCATTATGAAATTCGCACCAATGATCTGGATTGCGCTTGTTTGGATTTTGATCGCATCTCCTTCGGCCACCGTACCTTATCTCCCCTGCTCCTTAAAACAGCTACGAGCTCGAGGTAGTGACATTGAAATTATATCCACCAAATCTCGCCTTCAAACTTCCATCATCATCTCGTGCCCCGCGTGTGTTTTCGATCATTCGCAAACCTCGATGAGGAGCCTGATTCCCTGTTCCTTGATTTTTGATCAATATCGTTGATTATCCTGTTTTGTTCGTGAATCTTTTCCTGCAGGACCCATATAAGGATCGTACCTGTTTACCTGATCCTTTTTCAGTTTCGGATCTCCTTGAACTGCTTCTTTCTTCATGCTGAAATCGAGCACGGTATCTCTCTTCGATTCGCAACTTCGTACTGTACCTGTTATACACATCATTCCACGTGGTTGCAGGGAACTCTCGAAGGCTTTCTTTAAGTCTTTCTCGTGGCTTCAGAACTTTTAACATTTAGATTGCTCGCAAAAGCTATTGCAGCCCAATTATCTGGTACACGGGGTAAAGTCATTCGTTCGCGTTGGAACCTATCAACAAAATCTCTGAGCAACTCTGTGTCCCCTTGTTTGATTTTAAAGATGTCCTCCATTCTTTTTTCAACCTTTTGTGCTCCTGAGTGCGCCTTAATGAAAGAATCTGCAAGCTCGCAAAAGAGTTTATAGAGTTTTCAGGCAAAAGAGAATACCAGGTTAGTGCACCCTTGGTGAGTGTTTCACCAAATTTCTTGACCAACACGGACTCAATCTCCAGCTTGGTTAAATCATTTCCTTTCCCCTGTAGTAAATGCCGTCACATGGTCACGTGGATCGGTTGTGCCGTCATATTTTGAAATGTCAAGCATTTTGAACTTTTTAGGGATTGAAAGCGGAGCAGCACTCGGTTTCCAAGGTTGTTGTGAATATTTATCCGCATCTATTCCTTTGATTATTAGGGGAACTCCAGGGATTTGTTCGATGCGCTCGTTTTGTTCTTTGAGCTGTGTCTGCAAAGTTAGTACCAAATTTTGTAAATAAGAATTATTTGTATTACCTGGATTCATTTCTCGTGGTTCAATGGGGGTTCCTTCGTTTGAATTAACAAGGCCAGAACGAGGATTCTCCAGCGTATTGTTATTAGGCGAAGGTGTGGACGGCGCAGCAGGTAACCGGCTAACTAGCGCTTGAAGAGCTTGGCTAACCCGTGCATCAATTATTCTTTGCAGAGCTTCTTTTGGTCCCTCAAAATGTTCTGATTGCTCTTGCTCATCAGCATGTGATTTAGGAGTGCCTTCACGAGATTGACGTGGTGAATTTTGAAGGGAAGGAACTGCGTTAAAGTTCTGCAAATCTCCTTGATCTTGATGCATTTGATTTTCTCGGTTTCCCAAGGTGTTTTCACTGTTATTATTGTCGTGTGACATGATGATAACAACAGATAGAATGTAACTTAAAAAGAATAGATTATTAGATTCCCGGTAACGGAACCAATTTGTTTCACCAAAGAAATAATATTTTGGATAAAGCTAGAATTTGAGATGAAAAATCGGGTTACTGATAATCAAGAGACCAAAAAAGAATAATAGGCTTTCTGAGAATAATAATAAAGCAGTAAACAAGTTTTTATTTCAGTATGATGTTAATGATCCCCTTTTCCCAATACAACTTCCTCCTTTTATAGTTGATTCTAGGTAAAGGAATGAAACCTAAGCTTTAATGAGACATTTATGGACAATAAATGACATTAAATAAGCCGTTACACAATCATTCCTATTAAATACCAATATTCTAACGTATCAGGTATTTAATACTGAATTTGGACTCCTTTTTGTCTTCAGATCCATGTCTTCAATGCCTTTCGATCCACTGGCTTTAAATGACTTGAATTGGTACGAGACTCGTGTCTAAACTGCTTCTCGTGCCTGTTTCACTTCCTCTTCCCGTACCTGTCATCTCCCGTACCTTTTCCTCAATTGTTACGCTTTGACCATTTGTCCAGTCCACGTGTCACGCCACGTCATCTTCAATATAAATTCAACTTTTTTCCCAATACATTCTCGTGGATACAGGAACAAGTATTACCCGCTTTCCTAAAGATTTTTATATTATATTTCGTTACATATTTAGAGCTGGAGTACGAGATATTTCATTGGCTAAAAGTCCATTCGCATCTTTGGACACTTGCTATAGAGAGGATCCTAATGGTCGTGATCTTGACTTTCCTGTTGTGAAGTTGTACTTTGGCGGTGTAAACCCAAATAACATGTTGTTATTAGCAAAAGAACGAGTTCTTCTGCACTATCGTGGAGTCTATTGTCTGGCTTTTATGGGATGGAATAGATCCCGCACAGTATTAGGAAGTAATCAACTCCAGGGTATAGGATTAACTTTTGATACTTCAGAAAATACTGTCTTTCGACTTAGATGCATGTGATTGAGGAAAATAAATTTCAAAGTCTTACAATCTAAAATTGTACCCAAATTTACTACTACACTAGTTTGACTTCTTCTTTTCTGTTAGCGACTAGAGTACTAATTTGAAGAGTTATTCAATGGTTTGGTGTTTTATTCAATGGTTTATCAGTTTTTGATTTGGTCACGGGTTTTCGATTTGTGGAAACAGCCTCTTACAGAGATGAAGGTTATATAAGGTTGCATACAATAGATCCTTATTGTCCAGCACTTCCCCGGACCCCGCGCATAGCTAGAGCTTAGTGCAGTGGGCTGCCTTTTTACACCATGGATGATGGACGAAGGAAAAGTAACGTTGGAGAGGAGGGAAATTGGATGTAATTTTTTGTGAAAAGGCGTATGAGCCCCTCTCGCTATTCTTGTTTAATATAATACTAGGGACATGTAAGGAAATTAAAAAATGGTTGCCACTATTGAGATAGTCACGAACAAGTTATTTATATTCGAGAATATTGTCTTAGTCAACAAGGTTCAAACTTTCAAAAAATGAAAACTTCAAGTTAGGACCGCGATCCTCACGGTGGACCGACCATACCTTAAACCGATACGGGTGAGAAGTAGCATATACTAGGACGCTTGAGAGAACCACGTCATAGAGACTCGGGCAATATGACCTTGTAACGTCGGATAGCGGCGCTCTCCTATCTTTTGATTAGGAAACCAAAATATATTGGGGGGTAGCACTGTTATTAAAAACATAAAATTTTGCTAAGTGGTAACATGATGTATAGTTCAACACTTGGATGGTGCTGGAAGGTCGGAAGGAGAAGTGTCATAAGATTTGAACGGAAGCCCTCGCACACAGTGGTAGTAACTTTAACTATCCTAAGATAAAGAAATTCCTTATAGCATAAGTAGGACCTGCACGAATGGTGTAATAAGTGCCTCGTTGTCTCCGATAAGGATTCCGTGAAATTGTAATCTCCATGAAGATGCCTTACAAATGGCTAGATGGCAAGGCCTCGTGTACCTTAACTAGTGCTTCGCAGTGACAACATTAATCGAATGTCTAGGGTAGGTGAGAAGTGGTGCTATATATATATATATATATATATATATATATATATATATATATATATATATATATATATATATATATATATATATATAATGTGAACACATAAGCTACATAATAAATTTCCTATATGGAATAGATTACATGAGATTCGATGCTAAGTTTGGGAGTGATTTTCTTGCAAAATAAAGTATTTTCTTTAAATTGACAAAATCAAGAGGTGCCAAACTCCAATCCACTTAGTAATGACAGAAATGCAAAAAAAAGGAAAAACTATTAACATTGATTTTATTGAGAACTTATCTCTTTCCAAGTTGTTCACGCTATGGCTTCTCAAAGAAAGAAGCAGATCTTCATAATTAATTCTAGTTTTTCTTCCTATTTTGTCATAATAACAAGAAATTTAAACCAGTATATAGATGATTGTAACAATTAAGAAGTGGTGGACATGTTTCAAACACATTCAAGCAATTAGCAAAACACCTTGATGTCCTAAGGTGTTATACCAATGGAAAAAATCTTCCATTTTCACCTTTTGATATCAATTATTTTCTCTATTCTATTTGTTGTGTTGGGCAATGCAAAATCTCTTTCACCACTCAACTCCACATACATTATGCAAGCTAGAAAGAGATTTATGTCTCTTGATTCAACTAAGCTTCCAGACCCTCCAATGCCATCCCATACTTTTACTATTTACCATCGCGATGTATTTGAAAAATCAAACTTTTTAGATTATGACTCGTTGCTTGAAAGTAGGATTGCTCGATGTCATGCTAGAGCTAGTCATTTAGCTTCTATTTTCGATGATGGTAGCGATGGTGTAACGCGAAATGACAACAAGAATGATGCAAATGCAAGTCTCACAAGGCAACAAGATGCACAAGGGGGTAAGATTCGTGAATTGGTCCCAAAATCAACGGATACACACAGCGTACATGGTGAGTATGTTGCATCCTTTTTGATAGGTAGCCAATTGATAAAAAATTACTTGCTAATAGACACTGGAAGTGGTTTACTTTGGTGGCAATGTGGACCATGTGAGGCCAATAATTGCTACAAACAGGATCAACCTCTATATAATTTTACTACATCTAGAATTTCTCGAAAAGTTGATTGCATTCGACATAGTTCATATTGCATAACTGCGGACCCAGCTTTTCATTGTGATCGAGATACTTCTGAATGTATCTATAATAAGAAATATACGGATGGATCAGGAACAAAAGGTTTTATGGCAGATGACGTGATTTATTTTGTTGTAGACCAAAGACCAATTCGGGTTACGTTTGGATGTAGCAACGAACAAACTGGTCCTTTTAGTAGTTCCTATTCAGGGATTGTTGGCCTTGGGCGTAAAGTATTTCCACTAGAAAAGGCCGGATATTCGTTACCATCGCAATTTAGGGCATACCTATTTTCGATGTGTCTGCCAACTTTTCATTCAGGAAAGGGATCTACACTGAGTTTCCATATAAGCAAGTGGCCAAGAGCAATATCAGCAAAATTGTTACAAAATTATAAGTACCCTTCTTTTTATTTTGTAAATCTTTATAAAGTTTTTGTTAATGAAAGGGAAGTTCCGGTAAAACCCTCGTGGTGGAATTTCAAACGAGATATGAGTGGTGGAATCTTCGTTGATACAGGGACAACTTTTACCCGTTTTCCTAATGATTTTTATGTCATATTTCGCTACATATTTAGAGTTGCAGTAGAAGATATCCCTATGGTTGAAAATCCAATCGGACCTTTTGACACTTGCTATAAAGTGGATCCAAATGGCGAGGAACTATATTTTCCTGTTGTGAAGTTATACTTTGGTAGTGTAAGCCGGAGTACAGAGTTGATTCTGGAACAAGAACGTGTAATCGTGAAATATAAGGGGTTTTATTGTTTGGCTTTTATTGGATGGCAAGAGAACTACTCAATATTAGGGGTTAATCAACTTCAAGGTGTAGGATTAACTTTTGATACTTCAGCAAATACTTTGTCCTTTGACATTAATGCATGTGATTGAGGTATAAATAAAATTTCTTATGTCTTGGAATCTCAAGGCGTGCCCAAATTCACTACAATTACGACTGGCATGTCTTTTTCTTGCTTTCTTAACATCATGGATCTGTCTCCCGTAAGAATGCCGTTAAAAATCATTTGTAGAAAGCGTCTCCATATTGAATTTTTTTTTCATTCTCCAATTTGATTGATTGATTAAATTAGTGACATCAAATCTATCATATATCATAGTAAAATTAATATAAATTTCGAAGGAAACCTCCGTCGATGTATAGCATTTTTAAAACTATATTGTAAATTCTCTTATTTCTCTTTATTCTAATTCATTGAAAAGTAATTACTGTTGAAAGAATTCAAAGGACCTTTTAGAATTTCTCCTTCCTTCTGGCATTGAATTGTTACAACGACATTTGGTAGACTTTCGGTTGATAAAATTTTAATGTTATTTAAAATTTATATTTTATATTCCTTCGGACTTGAATTTTCCTTTCCGGTATTTTGACATCTCTGCTATTGGTAAGTTCCATTGAAATTTTAGGAGTTCTTATCATAATATCAATAAGTTGATTCAAAATCTCGCGATCAACCTCCTGTACAGACGCTAAGCTTACTTGAATTCCTTCAAATTCAAAGGTTATAGGAGACTGCCTTTCTTAAATTTGTTTTGATGAGGTATAAACAGGCTCACTGTCTTAAAGAAACTTCTTTACCGCAAAGGATCGGGATCAACTACTCTGCCATTCTTTTATTAACTGTTCTAATGAGAGAAAGCTTTTTTAGCATCTTTTACATCGTAAATATAGTGCAGCACCACCAACTTTCATAGAACAACCATAACTGTCAGCCATTTCCACCAACTAACTACCTCTATTGCCAACCATCATCAATTAGCCACCACGCTAAGGCACTAACTACCATTGCACAACCATTATCAGTCATCCATCATCAGTGGCGAAACCAAAAAATTTCTCAAGAGTGTTCAAACTTGAAAGAAGTAAAAAGAAAAGTCCTTATAAAGGGTGTTCAATTGTCACGAACCAAAACTCAATGTGTCGTGATGACGCCTATCATGGTACTAGGAAAGCCGACTTCTCAAACATTTCCAACACTTTCGACTTTGAAATATACTAGCACAACTTAAATAAATAAAAATCTCATAAAACGGTTTAGAATATCATAACTCAATACATAAGTTTTCCCAAAAATCAAGGTGTCACTGAGTACATGAGCATCTACATAATGACATAGTCCGGTACACTGTCTAGAAAGTAGAACTGAATAAATAAACTTAAAGATAGGGGAAGGGAGTCAAGGTCTCCGGACGCGAAGCAGCTACCTCAATGATCTCTGGATGTCTGAACTTTGTGAATCAGCAACCGCCGTGACCGGAAACACCCGGATATGCACACGAGGTGCAGGGTGTAGCGTGAGTACAACCAACTCAATAAGTAACAAATCTAACCTTTGGACTGAAAGTAGTGAGGAGTATGAGTAATACAGTCCACATGCAGTATTAATAGTAGGGAAACATACAACAAATATGATAGTGTTATCTCAGAAATTTATAATCTTCAAATAGAAGTACAAGAATTTAGATATGCTTTCAGGTTTTTGCAATAAAACTTAACCAAGAGCAAGGAAGATCCAGCCCATGGCATGTCCAGCCCAAATGCAAATAAACCAGCGTAGATCCATCCCAACTGTAAATAACGTCTAGCATTGCGCCCACTGTGGATGTGCAGACTCCGGAGGGGCCGATCCAACCCAAGCGCTATAATAAGCCAAATCCTTATATGAATCAATAAAACCTTCTGCGGCATGCAACCCGATCCCATGATATCACTCACAATAAACCCTCAGCCTCACTCAGTCATTAATCTCTCCAGTCTCTCGAGCTCACCAGAATCATGATAATCAGCCCAAACAATGATAATATGATGTATCAAATAAAGGAGACTGAGACATATTATGCAAATATATGGCTGACTAACGGGATGGGCCATCCCGTCCTGTCCCTGTCTCGTCCAACGTCCCGTCTCGACCCACTTCAATTTAAACGGGATGGGCCAATGTTAAATGGGATACGGGATGGGACGGGACGGCCATTTCGTCCCGTTTGTCCCGTCCCGTCCCACCTGGAATATTTTTTTTGAATTCTAGCCGTTGGGCAACGGCTTTAATTGCAAAAATAGCCATTCCAAACGGTCGAAAGCGGTAAAAAATGACTTCCACCCCTACCCCCCAAACTTTTAATATAATCCCTAAGTTTATTAAATTATACTTTGGCCCTATTTTCTAATATAAATACCCTCCATCCTTCTTCATTTTTTCCCACAAAAAATCAGTCTTCCTCTCTCAAATCTCTTACATCCTATCTATATTATTCTCTCAACTTTGTTACTATCAATTATCAAATGATAACTTTCAAGTTTCAAGTATTTGGGAAAATTTTTGGAGCAAATTTCAATCTTCAAATTAATTCGTCAAGTATTTGCAGAAATATTTTAGGCAATTTCTTCAAGTTTCAATGTTTAATCATGGATTCACGGTGCACTTGTTCCATCTCCTAATTTTAATATATAATTGTTGCGTATCATTCGCTTAATTTTTGTGTTTACTTTACGTATTCTATTTTCGTATTTCATTTGTGTGTTTAATTTTTGTGTTAACTTTTTTAATTTAGTTTCGTATTGAAATTATGGCACCTAAAAATGTATTTGGCATGTTTTAAAAAGTAGTAAAAAAATAGTAAAAGTGAAAGTAATAGTAATCCTAATCCTAGTCCTAATCCTAACCCCTCTCCTAGAATTAGAAAACATATAGATGAAACGACTCATGTTGATGAAACTTTATTTTCCCAACCCCCTGCATGTTATAATGTTAATTTCAGAGAAAAACTAGATCATGAAACTTTACAAAGACAATTTGGCAATGATATTTTTTTTGAGGACGAAGAAAATGAGGATGAAGAAAATGAGGAAGAAGACTTAGATGAAACACCCACTAGTCCCGCAACACAAGCTCCAACTCATAGTCAATCTCGGTCTGGAGCTTTACCCCCCTGTACCCCCTGTAAGGGGTAAGCCCAAGGCTGAATGTCCCAAAACATCACTTGTATGGAAATTTTTTAAACATGATAAAGTCAATCATCTTGCTATATGTGAAAAATGTATGCAATAATTTGAACACACAAAAAGTGGTGGGAAGGGGGGGAGGGGGAGGTTAACTAGAGACATACAAAAGAATCACAAATCTGTATGGATACAAGGTAACATAGAAGCCGGAAAAATTATAGATCCTACCACCGCTACTGGCACTCCTAGTGGATCTGGTTCTAATTTTGTACAACAACAGCTTGACCCTGTTTCTGGTACTGTTTTACGCCCCTATAACAAAGATAGAGATCGTGAGAACTTAGCAAAACTGGTGGCTGTCTGTGGCTTACCTTTTACTTTTCCTTCTCACCCTGCTTTTGTGCATTATATACAAGAAACATATAACCCTGGTTTTCAAGGTTTTCCTAAAACCACGGTTAGAAATGATGTTTTTAATTTCAAACCGACTATCTTCAGTATATTCATTATGTATTTTTTCACTTAGATTTTAAAGTGTCTATCACATATGATATAGGCTATAGTCCTAATGGTTGTGATTATTTAGCTGTTACATTGGGTTGATCATCACTGGAACATGCAAAAATGTATTATTGGTTATAAATTTGTTGATTCAAAACACACTGGAGCATATATTGCAATTACTGTTCTACAAATACTTGATTTTTATGGACTTATTGATAAAGTTTTAACTATCACCTTAGATAATGCTTCTACTAATACAACCGCAGCAAATACCTTAAAAACTAGACTTTGTCCAATTAATCTAGCAATTTTTCATGTTAGATGTGCATGCCATATTTTTAACTTGGTTGTAAAAGATGGTCTTAATTTATTTTCTAATGCTTGTACTAAAATACAACATGCTTGTGCCTATATTTTCGTGCTAATAAAGCGAGTAGAATTCGTGATTTGCTCAACAATGTGCTAGTGCTAACCTTCCATTTAGAAAAATTCCAAAAGATATTTGTACTAGGTGGAATTCTACTTATAAAATGCTTAAAGTTGCTTATGATTATCGGGTGCCTATCCAAAAGGTATTTAATATGCATAATGGTATCCCCGCTGATCAAATTGTTGATTCTGATTGGGATGAGATCAAAGAGCTTACTAAATTTTAGAAAAATTTTACTATGCTACAAAATAATTTTCTGGTATATATCATCCTACTGTTACAGTAATACTATGGTATATTTGTTGAATTTCTATTGTATTTGACAAGTATAAAATAATTCCAACTTATGCACCGGCCATTAATGAAATTATTTCAAAATTTAAAAAGTATTTTTTCCCCATTCCCGAAGTTTATTTAATTTCTACTCTACTTAACCCCTCTTTAAAACTAAGAGGTGCAAAGGGACTTGTTCGTAAAATTTATGAGAATTTAGCAATTCAAGAAAATGAACAACCATCTCTGTAAGACTGCCAAGCTAGCATATATTCTTATGCTAGATCAATGTTTGATAAATATAAATCTATGGAAATAACAGGTTGTGAAACTGTTCCTTCTACTACTAAGTCTAGAGCAGAAGTTTTATGGGAAGCTATGGATGATATAACAGGTTTTGATTCCTCTATTGATGATGAACTTGATTCTTATCTTAATCAAGGATTGCAAAGTATTTAAGATGATGAAGGCAACGAACAACTTTTGGCATGGTGGAGGGAGTGTGGCAAGGCTTTTCCAACACTTTCAATAATGGTCTGAGATATCCTGGCTATTCAAGCATCATCAGTAGCATCGGAGAGTGCTTTTAGCGCGGCAAGATTTCAAAGTGGAGATCATAGACATGCATTAGCGGAGGACAGTCTTGAGATTTACGTATCATTCAGAGATTGGATTAATTCAGAAAGAAGAAATCTTGGTTTTGAAAAATTAACCACTAGGGAA